AGTGATTCATAACCATTAAATATTTATAAAATTCTATCAAATAGACTTTATACAGTATATTAGTATTAGCATTTTGGTATCAATATTTGATGTTATTAAAATGAAACAAACAGAAAAATTTCTATTACTAGACAGAATTGCATAACAAAGAAAAACCAACTGAACAAAAATTCACTACTAAAACTAACTGAGCAAAAATTTGCTACTGTTATTAGACAGAATCATAACAGGTTACATGATAAGACTTCACGACCACTACAGAATTTCTTAAAAATTGGTTACTTTTGTATGCGCTTTATTGTAGAAATTTTTATACAACAAAAACAAAAATTAGCTACTGTTACTAGACAGAATTACATAACAAAAAAAAACCAACTGAACAAAAATTCGCTACTAAAACCAACTGAACAAAAATTTGCTACTATTACTAGACAGAATCATAATAGGTCATATTACCTACTACTACACATTATTTAAAGTATTTTTCTTGATACATTAAAGATTATAGATTATATAGTATTTAATCAGCTCAACAATCGATATATAATTTTAATATAATGCGAATCAAGAATGATACTTGTTGGATAACCTGCACTTAATATACCTCATTTTTAACCTTGCAATAGAATTGTATGTATGTATATTTGTATAACAGTTGTAAAGATATGATCTGATTAAAATTATTGAAATTCAAATATTCATTTTGACCATATTCAAATATCTAAAAAAAATAGCAGACATTTGTTGATATTTGAAAACTAACTGATTATCTAATACGTGGTATATTATTGCATTTAAAATAGAGATGTAAAATTACAATACTTTTGCATAATTTTATACAATTTTATAGTAAATTTTGGTAAATTAATTTTTATGTATATTGGTTATAAAAGTAATATATTTTCGCTTCACAATAAAGTAAACTTGAGAGAATTGGAATATGCTTTTCATGCCAAATATGTTTATTCTGTTTTGCAGATCTAACTCAAGATTTATGTGAATGCGATACTTACCAAAAACCATCTCACAATAAAACTCCTTAACAAGTTTTTAATAGAATTTATAATCCTAATGATATCTAAACAAATCAAAAACTATTTTTTCAAAATTGTAATTGTCTTTTCACATATAACTGTGATTTTAATCAATTGTTTAATTTTAATCTTTGTTCAACAGTCATTCATAATATAATCATATTAAAAAAAGCTTTAAAGATACAGAAATTTCTTTAGCTACTAAAAGTACTAGTAATCATGCTAAAAAAACAAGTGTTAGCAATCACACTAAAAAAAGTTTTAAAAATACTGACATTTCTTCAGTAAAGTATTAGTAATGACGAATCTGACTTTTAACAGGCTTAGTTTCATCAAAAGAAGATTCTAATTTTGATTCAAAATTCAACGTTAAGGTTATAATTAAAGTAAATGAATTCGATCCAATACTAGCAAAATAGTTCACAATTGAATCAAACGATTTTGACATTTTTCAAGATAATTTAATTAAACATATTCAAGATCATATTGATAATAACGATTTCAATAAAAATAATATTGAAGTCACTTATAAAATTAATGGCTGTGGGCAAGCAATGGCTTTAGATGACAAAGATGATTATAATGTATTTATTAGTGAATATCAAAAATTAGAAATCAAGTAAATCTATGGTATTAAATGTTGTACCAAAATTATTAAATAATAAAAAAAGAATTTAACTAATTTTAACCTCTGGTTAACA